TGATGCTGCTTGGCCTGCTGTGTTCATCCAGCTCTACACCTTGTTATCTCTTGTAACAGTGACCAGGTTTAGCGTAGCTCTGAATGACTGGTGCTGTCGCTTCTGTCTTATTTGTAATGCGAGAGGAGCACCCACTTCCCATGAAGGTGAGACTGAGAGAGAACCATTTACCCTGGAGTCAGAACGTGCCAACATCCTGGATCGACGTGAGCAAACTCACCGCAGTGGGTGATAGTTCTGACAATTGCCACATCGAAAGACTGCGTTCCTAGCTCTTTACAGAGACTATCATATTAGGACACCTGTAAATGAGGGTTAAGGTCAGCCTGGAGATGATATTGGGAGATTCTTGATGGCTTTGGGATAGACAGACAAGGGGAAATCGGATTGACCACACTGTTCAAATCTTGATTTCTTAGCAACTGGAGGTAAATGGTCTAATTTAATCTCCCTGTACAACTGGGTATGGCTGGAGTGTGTGCATTGAGGTGTTTCATACGGACGGGGAGGGGCTTTCAATAGGCCAGGAATCAGGTTCACAAGTGATATTGACAGTGCAGGACCCCCGGAGGTTCCACCTCCCCACCCGGGTCAAATGAAGCTCTAAACTGGGGAGAGCGAGTTCCGAAATGAGCGAACGTATAATGTTGTTACATAGCGACACAAAAATGCCTTCGTTGTGAAGAGACCCTAAACCCCAAATCTGCCGGAGAGAATGAGCAAGTGGATGAAAAGAGACAGAGGGCGGATTTTGTGCTTTATTACCCGCTGTCCTACACGAAATGCAGAGGAACTTTGGGCTTTCAAACTCCGAAAAAGAAAACTCCCTTTTGAATTAAGAAGAACACATAGTCTCTCACACACATACACACATACATCTATCTTCTGTAATCCTGTACCAAACATTGATTGGAATTCCATTCCCCCACCATCCCGCGTCAGGTCTGAAAAAAGTGCTCAAAACAAAAACAAAATTATATGAAAGTGCAGTTTGGGAGATGCCAATGAACATGACTGGAGAGGAGTGGGTGAACTGTGGCCAGGGAAGGCCACACGGCAGGATAGGACCTGGGGAAACTATGATCCCTCACCAAAAACACACTAATCTCAATGATAGGGAGCTGAATGTTCTTATCTGCTTAAGTACTATATACTGGTGAGGAAAATGAGGAATCCTAAGGGTTAAGCATACTTAGTAGTTCCCTAGCTTGCAGAATGCGAGTCCATCAGGAAGAATCAAATAACACTGTTAAAGCTGCCCCAACTGTTTTTTTTTGCGTCTGTGATTCTGTAAAATTGTTTCTGAGTGATTTCGATGAAAAGCAGATTCAATTCCACAAAGCAATGCGCGCCGTCAGTATTCCTGCAGACTCGGACTGCTTCTTCCTCCCTTAATTTGACCATAAAACACCAAATACTTCAGCAAAGGTGTTAATAAAAAGCAAATGAGACTCCAGGCTGCGTAGCCTCCTCAGGTGAGAAGGACCATTAGCGTCTTTCGCTTTAAGAATTTATCACCTGCAAAAGCTACTTCAATGGTTAAATACGTAAGAGAATGTTAAGACTCCCAGTTTGAGAAAATTCGTTCAAAATTGGATTTTGGGTAGGAGAGAGTGTTTCTATGGATAAGAGCGACACCTCTCGACCAATCAGCTCAATTCTGGTTCAGATCTGTCGCAAAAATGAGTACATGTTTGTGCTCCAACATAAGTGACATGTGCTAATCGGTTACATTTGGCAATTACTCAGAGACCAAAATAGCTTTGATTCCTCCTTAAATGTAATTTTATTAAAAGCTCTCTTTATTTACCTGTCACCTTTTTTCTACACAATTCCAGTGCCAATGAACTGAACAAAGTCTTAGGATCCTGCTCAGCACTTGAATTGATTTCCATCATTTTAAAGCACCTCTCTAAACGTGCTACTGTTTGATCATACAGAATATTCCAAACACTTGCTAAATTTTAGCAAAATAGGCTGAAATATATTTAACTTACCAATGAATCTTTCTAAAAATACCGAAAGAATTGCCGATGTTGTAAATCAGGAACAAAACCAAAGTTGCTGGAAAAGCTCAGCAGGTCTGGCAGCATCTGTGAAGGAAAAAAAGAGTTAACGTTTTGGGTCCGGTGATCCTTCCTCAGAACTGAATCTTTCTATTGGACGCGTAGGCAAGTTACACCCCTTTAATTTCACCGTTTTTTTTTCAGATTGAGTGATGGCATATCTATGGATGCTAACTTTTGTTTTCTGAGCCCAGCCCAGACTATTGAGTTTAAAAAACT